AGTCTTGTTATGCTTCCCTTTGAATAGAGAAGAATAAAGAAGTTGCACAACCATTCCATAAGCCAAACATACCTATGTTTTAACATGTTTCCAGTTACACTGTCTTTCACCTGCAGCTTTACCGTTTTTCAATGTCATTGAATCATTTATTGTTTCCTTTTCATTGTTATTTTTTTCTTGGACACAACATTTACAGTATTTATTTCACATATTACCATTCAGATCTCTAAAATACAGCTTCTGGAATTTCTTCCAGAATTGCTTTGGTTTTCTCTCAAATCCTTTAATGATTTTTAATACTGAATTCCATTCACACTGGTGGAACTTTTCTTTTCACCTACTTCTAAAATAATGTTGTATTTCCATCAAAATTGCACTGTATTTCCATCAAAATTGCACTCCTTTAACCTTAACATTTCCTTGCTTCTTTGATAATTTTGCACCTAACTTTTTTTCTCTCTGAATGCATAATCTAATACCTTTCCTTCTACTCATGAATTTCACTGTAAATACCCAATTTAGTTGGTTTCTCATATCCTTTTTTTTGCAGCAGTCATTATCTTACAATCATCTTTTTCTCCTCCATGGCCTTTATTATTTCATCATTCAATTAAGCATGCTTTTTTATACTTCCCATTAGAGTAACTCCACACATTTCTATGTTACTCTGAATCTGTTCCAAGAAGTTTTTACATTATCCTTATTTGCATTATTTTAATGTAAAATATTTTACATCATTCTTAATTATCTTGGGAAATATTGTATATGTGTGTGTGTCTTCTAATATTTTCTTCATACAAATCTCATACTTCCTTTTCTAGTTTCACATTAGTTTCTTTCATATATTTCATGTAAAGTTCTTCCCCAAGATTCACTTTAGACATTACTAAATAATAGTCTATCTCTCATGTATAACTCTCTTACACTTCTATATCTCACTTATTTTTCTGTGTTTCTTCATACATAATCCAATTAGTTACGTTTCTTTATTCATTTCTATGTTGTATGTACATACTAATAGAAATTTATTCTTAAACCATATATTACAAATAGTCCTTTTTCTAAGGAAATATTTGCCAAACAGTCACCATTCTGATTCATTCTTGGGTCTCCAAATGGCTCAATCTCTTTTTCTGAAGTATCTCATCTCATTCCCACCCTATTCAGTACAGGTAGTCCTTGACTTACAGCCACAATTGAGCCCAAAATTTATGTTGCTAAGTGAGACATTTGTTAAGTGAGTTTTGCTCCATTTTACAACCTTTCTTGCCACAGTTGTTAAGTGAATCACTGAAGTTGTTAAGTTAGTAACACAGTTGTTAAGTGAATCTGGCTTCCCCATTGATTTTCTTATCAGAAGGTTGCAAAAGGTGATCACATGATGTCAGGATATTGCAACTGTCATAACTATGAGTCAGTTGCCAAGCATTTTAATTTTGATCACATGACCATGGGGATGCTACAGTGGACTTGTGGAAAATGGTCATAAATCACCTTTTCAGTGTCGTTGTAACTTTGAACAATCACTAAACAAACTGTTGTAAATCATCAACTACCTATATTTTTCCCTTAGATTGCATTCCTAAGGTTTCAGAGTTTTTAACAAACCCATCCCTAATTCTTCCATGGTTTGTATTTATTGGACATAATATGTAGCTGTAACCTTCCTATGGGTTTTTGCTTTTATACACCCCACCGCACCCCTCATCTGACCCTGGCGACATTCTAGATGACACAATTTTGTACATTCTGACATACAGTTAAATTTTTTTGTTCATAAACTTATGCTTTTACTTTGAGGCATGTATTTATCAACCCCATTCCATAAGATAAGACCATCATTCAGATCTATTGCATTTTTAGCTTTTTCTTAATTTCACATATACACAATTTATTATTTTTAATTCAGCTTTTTTTCATACTGTTTAGTGTTAGACTTCATGTATAATCCAAACATAGTCTTCCAGATCTCATAGTTATCACCAAAGAGGCCCACATATTTTCCATATTGCCTATTATGCTTTAGTCAATCAAGATTTTTACATAATACTTTCTAATAAGATAGAAAAATATAGACTTGGTTACCATCATTAATTGCACCCATACCACCTAAATCATTCACTAGTAATGGTAATAACAGTACAGGTTACACAGGTTAGTTTGGGCGTATTTTGATTAATGTGCCATAAGTTCAATCAAACGCCAGTTTTTCCCCAAGCATGTTAACGCTATGCTATGCAAGCTAAAATCTCTAATCTACAGCCTACTATATCGGCCAACATATAGTTGTGAATTTCACCATCCACAGCTTGGATGCAATATATTGAACATATATATGGGTATTATTATAAACCATTTTGGAATAAAACTGGTTATTTTACTCCACTCAGATTGATATTTGCAAATTATAAATAGAATCCCAAAACCTATTCTCAGAATCTGATCGTGCCTCTGGCTATAGTAACAAGAAGGAATCAATAAGAATGATAGTGGAAAGGGACATGTGACTTCATATTCCTTTCCTAAATCTAGGTTCAAGTTGCATCCAAATGAAGGAACCTATCTACTGAAAGATATTAACTTTATTTATAGATTTAATATTTTTTAAAAGCTATTTGGACATTATTTAAGCAATGCTGATTTCTAATTAATGGTTCATGGTGTTGGGATTTTTTGAACTATATTTGCCATAATAAAATAGGCCAATATGACATTGGAAATACTGCTGTGGAGATGAAGAAATGTGGGTGATGGCTGGTCTGAATAAGTAAATCTAGAGAGAATATTTGTGTTAGCATGCACATTATTTTAACCGAGAGTAACAGAGTTAGAGGCACATACCAGTATTAAACTGTACTGGATAAAGTATCATTGGATATTGTATTCTTTACTTCCTTATCCCTCTTTTCTATTAGACGAAAAGGCCATATCCAGTTTAGATAATAGTATGCATATAAGAATCACTGTAATAAAAGCTTACTATAAATCCTATGTAAAGTATTATAGTGCAGAATAATTTGGGGATGAGAAACTAAAATAGACTGATATTTTTCCCTTACCCTAATCTTCCATAGGCCCATTCATAACTCAACCTTAACTTTATCATTTTTTCATCTTTCCAAAGGACCATTTTACTAGCAGTTCAAGCACTCTCATCCACCTTTCATGTTTGGCTCTTAGTTAAAGCTATTTGACCCTGAAAGTACAAAATGAATGTTTCTGTTATGTTTTTTACTTGTTTAAAGTATTTGGATTCCGAATTTTAATAAATCTGAGGAGTGTCTCAGAAATTTGACAATAAATAAATACTTTGCATGATCAGACTGTGCACAATATTTTTGCTTGCATCCAACTCTGTACAAAGGATAGTGGATGCTAGAGAGGCCTTTTGGATAAACAGACCAACTAATGGCATTATTTTAATGATAATAATTGAAGTTGCTTTTTTGACTCTGAAGGGGAAAATAGGCCTGTATGTTTTATTGTTCTTCATGTATCCTTTCCTAAACCAATTTACATCATTAATATGGTATCATTTACAGCACCAACTCCAAACTGTTTTAGACAGATAATTGTCAGAATACTAAAAAAAAAAGTATAAATGTAATGGGGAAAGTCTTCCTAGAAATTTCTTAATTTATGTGGCACTCCCTGAAAGAAGACAAGACTTCAGTTAATTAAATAACTGTACTGTATTGATATTTTTAATTGCCTTGTTATATATTCATGATTAAATTGAATTCGATAGTATCCTGCATAAAAGTAATGTCCACTTTATTGTGGAATAGATCTAATTGTGTGGCTAAGCTCCATATGGTTTTAGGCAATAGCAGAAATTTGAACATTCAAAAGGGTTCACGAATTTAAGCACCACTGTATTTCCTGATAGTAATGGCCAATAAAAGGCTTTAGGAACCTTTTTCTAAAAACAAAGGAAACTGTCATAATCTGGTCATAATAACTTGGTAGTTGCATGATAGGTATCAATATGAAGTGGCCTTATGCAGATTGAAATGTATACACATTGGTCTTTCTCTGATGTTAGCTGGAACTCTGACTAGTCTCTGTATACATAAGACCTCTTTATTATGATACCCCCAAAATGATTACTGGGAAACTTATCTGATGGATGACATTAGGGCTGTGGAAGCACCAGAGAGAATCCATATAAATTCTCATAAATAATAATTCCCTGTGATCTGCAGGGAAAGGAAGCTCTTTTTCTTGTCAGTAAAATAAGAGTCATGTTGCTTAATCCTATTTAATATTAATTTGAAGATACTGCCACTCATTTCTTCTTAGCATATGTTCCTATGGTTCTTTCCTTTTTACATTCACACCTATTTCTATCTCTTTAATCCAAACTTTGTCTGCTGGTTTTGTATTTGCCTTGATAACTTATAAGCATCATGCAAGTTACAGGAGTATAGTCTTTTTTCCTTTTCTTGTTAGTTCTGGTGGAAGTTGGTGTTTATTTGCAGTATGCTGTAAAAATAAAGATATTTTATTATATAATTCTTTCCTGGTGTTGAGTCTGGAGTTCTGAATGCATTAAAAAGATAAATAATTTGTAAGGTTGAGCATGTTTGTAAACTGGCTTGGAAAACATTCTTTAGAAGTCATATGAATACAGTGTCTCTCTGCTATTCATTAAGGTAGCCACATCTTTTTTTATATTTGTTCAAAAGTCTGAATAAGATATGAGTGCTTTAATGAGCTTGTACAAATTCCTGTCTACTTCTTCAGAATCATTTTAGAACCATGCCCAGCTTTAGTGTTTGGTATTTTTTTGCACTAAGTAGATAGCTTCCATTCTAGATAATGTATATCAATGAGAAAATAACATCAGCTTCCTAATTTGGGGGAATCCAGTTTCAGTCTCTTCTTACAATTTTCTCATTTTAGTCAGATCGCAGAACTATTAAGTGAGTGAAAGAAAATTAACCACAATTTCTTTAAAGTTTATCTGTCACTTTTCTGTTCTTTTTTTTTCCCCTCAGGTCGAATTCGCACAAGGAGACAAAGCTCTGGAAGCACCAGTAATATCACCTCAACACCTGCTGACACTCGAGGCCGCAGTCGGGCTAAAGTAGTTTCGCAGTCCCAGCGTAAGGAACCATTTAGTGTGCTATTATGAAGGAGACACTATATTTTTCAAGTTTGTTTTTCTTGCCAACCTTATTTTAATATGCATCAGTGTTTCCATAATGAATATTCTTCAAATGCAGTTTTTAAAATTAATTCCTATAATTAGGTCCTGACAAATTAGGCATGACACACAGTTTTTTTTAAAAAAAACAAACAATTGGGGCTTAACTCTTCAGGATTTTCATTGCTCTAAGCATGCCTACGAACTACTCATTTATTTTCCCAAACAGCAACTTGTTCACATTCTCTTACATTATAAGCACCTCTTCTCTTCTCACCTTTTGTTCCTTTAAGAAAGGATGCAGTGTAGCAAAAGATTGAAATGCTTGGTACGGATGGCTTTCTTGTCAGAACTGATGAACTTGTTTTCTCAATCCCCAAATGTGATGTGCTGTAGTCCACAAACTGACATTCAAAATTGTTAGCATTACTGATTGCTCTGCATATGTGCCTAGTTGCTAGTGAGTAATATTTTCTGATGCTTATTTTATCTTTAAAAAAATAAAGTAATAAATCATAGCCAGAAACAAGAACTGTTTAGTAGATGGAATGTTAGGTTTAAGGTGACTGAGGTTTTTTTTTTTGGGGGGGGGGTTACTAACCTCTATACTAACTGGTCATTCTGCGTTATAAGCACTACCCTTGTATCTTTGTCTTGTTTTTCTGTGATATCATTGCCTATTCTGCAACCCTGCATTGATGGGATTACTATTCCCAGGGCAGTAATGCTATTTGTTTGTCCCACACCCCACCAGCCTCATGGATATCAAGCATAAAACTAGAATTACAGTTTATTCTACTCTAAATAGTTATTTACTGCTTTGCACGAATGTTTTCATGAAACGTTTTGCCACATACTAATCCATAATAAAATGTGAGCAGCGATGTGCTTGTCAAAAAGAAGTTTGTATGCAAATAACAATGCTTCTTGAACTCTGTATTGTCTCGCTTTCTCTGCTTCACTTTCTGCCTGTCCTTTCGTCTGCTGTCATAATCCAGGATCCAGATCAGCTAACCCTGCAGGTGGTAAGAAATACCTTTTGTTTTTCACTCTTTTACATGTCTGTACTGCCTCTCATACTACTGTTTTTAACTGATTCAACGTCTGAAAGTATTGTATTCCTAGAGGCTTAAAAAAAAACTAGTGTTTTTAAAATGAAAGTTCAGCCATCCATATGATGTACTTAGACAAAGTACCCATGTGTAAGTTCAGTGAGGAGTGGGACTCATTCGTAGGTAACAGGGTGTTAGGACTGTAAATTTTAAGAACTGAAAAAGGATTTGAAGATGTCTTCAATTGTTTATGGAGATGTTGTATGTTAACAGCAGCAGGGACAAGCCTGACATGCTATTTTTGAAACTAGACAATTTCAAAGATAGGTTCTCACAACACAAATTGTCTTGTGAGAAAATCACCGCTGGGTGATTTCACTTTCATTTGCATAATTTCTTGAATTTCAATGCCTATTTTTTGGCAATTGCTCAAGTCAGTTTTGTGGTTGGAAGATAAAAGAAAATTTCAGAAAGTTTCCTTGCAAAATGCGTGAGAAAAAATAAATAACGGGACAAAGAAATTGTGTGTATGAGCACGGATGTGAGAGAGAGTGCCCGTGCAAATGAGTTCATTGGTTGCTTCTGTATAAAATGTAGCTTGCTGGTAGGGCTGATGATATTTGATCATTTTAAAGGTGAGTAGTATCATTCAAGGTTGTGATTGTATTCATTCATCACTCTCAACACTTTTTATTGTTAATCTATGTTGTTAACCCCCATTTTTAAACATATAATCATCTTGAAGAATTTCTGTATCCTGTTTTATTTTTAATTTACTATTAATTGAGCTGAATTTTTTTCAAATAACATTTGGTAAATTTAATGATTTGAAATATTCTGAAGACTTAAGAGCATTTGCTTGTTGTTGTTTTTTGTAGCTGGTAGTCGATCCAGCTCTCCTGGCAAACTGTTGGGAAGTACATATGGTGGGCTTAGCAGTGGAACAACCAGAGGACACCCAGTGCCAACATCATCCTCATCTACTGACAAACGTAGTAAAGTCCCCCGAAGCCAGGGCTGCAGCCGAGAGACCAGCCCTAGCAGGATAGCTCTAGGTAAGAGTTTTCTTGGCTGCAATATAGAGCCAAAAGATTGATTTCCTTTCTCATGCTGATTGGCCAAAATAATTCTTGAAATAAATTACAGTTTTGCTATAATGATTTCATAGTTACGGTATTCTGCTGAGTTTGTCAATAGCATGCTAGGCAAAGAGAGCAGCAGGGCCTAGATAAAGTTGCCAGTGGGATTAGCATAAATTGCCTATGTTTATACTTATTGTTTCAATTAGAAAATAGTTCTTCCTTCAGATGTGTTTTATTTTCATTTTCACTTGGCACGGTTCAGTGCCATTTGATGATACTAAATGTATTGTCCTACAGCTATAATACAGATTTCTCCTTTGAGTGCTAGAGATACTGTTCTGTTGTTGTTTTCTCTGATCAAAAATTGCACCTATTACTTTTAGGTTAAATACTAAATTTTACCTGAAGCGTTTTTTTCTTCTAATGAACTTATTAGTACTACTGTAGATGGGTGACTGAACTGTTCTATCATCAGATATATTAATTATGCACAAATGCCCAACTACACATTATTAATATAAAACGGTAGTCATGACAAATCTTATTTTAGAGCTTGAAATTAGGAAATGCAGTTGCGATGTACCAGTTCAGATTTGGAACTGGGGCCTTCCGATGAGCAAACAAGACACACTTAAATATAACCGCTTTAAAATCTGTTCACTCAGTTTCAGCAACAAAAAGGTGAAAAGGCATGCAAAAGAAGAGGAATGTGACAAGGGATTTGAAGCTTGCATCAGAGAAGGAAAATGAGAATAATATCACCGACATTTGCATTAATAGGCAGGCAGAATGCATGGAGGAGAAAAAAGAGATAAATCATATATATGCTTCAGAAAAGGATCAATGAACTTAGCACCAAATTGTGGCAAGTGAGGTCATTAACCACTTTGTGGTTTTTAAAGAGTTTTCAACCTTTGTGGTACAACACCCCCTTAATAATAATTTTATATGATCCCAACTCTGAATAACTAATGATTTCACCGGGTTTAAGACAATGGCAAGAAATAAATATATGGTTTATTTTTAGTTACTAAGTTTGGTCTAAATAGAACAAAAGATCTCAAATAAAACCTCAACCAGGCAGGCTTCTGCAGGCAGAGTGGGAGCAAAGCATAGATTTAGTTTTGAGGATGCAGGGCTGGTTTACAAAAGCAAATCAAGAAGCAATGTGTGGTGCAAGTTCTGACAATTCTCCTGTTTTGCCTGCCCTGTCAAAACCTACTCCCATTTTGTCTGGACAAGCCCACAACTGGCAAGGAGCAAAGCCCAAACTAAGTTTTGATGGTGCTTCCATTTTGTTGGGGCAAGTCTGATTAGGTCTTATTTTTTTTTAATATTGAATACCCTCAAAGTTTCTTAACAGTACTCTAGGACATAATGATTGACCCAAGAAAACTGTATTTTCAGTGAACCAGAAGATCTATAATTAACATGTGACTCTGAAACATGTTGTGTGTGTGGGGGGGGGGGGGTTTGAGCTAAGCATTTTTATGTGGAAAGAAAAAAAATACTTGCACCAGAAAGTATATATATTTAAATACAGACAGGGTTTTTTTCTTCTTCTGATTAGCATAGGAACAGAGCTTATTGGCCAGGTTAAGGACTTTTTTTAAAAAAAAAATATTTATAAGCAGTTGTACCACACAAATGAAAATAAATATATACTGTTCCATAGACCATCTTTTCTAAAATTATTTTGATTTACATTTATATTTACTTGCAATGGTTAACCTAGAGCAGGGGTGTCAAACTCTCAACGTCATGTGTCGTGTCATGACATATCGCAACTTTTTTGCCATTGCCGGCAATGGGGTGGGCGCAGTTTCACTATGATGCATCCGGCCCATGGGCCGGCAGTTTGACACCCCTGACCTAGAGCAATTTCTAGGAGAGACACTTCTGCTTTTATGCTACTAATGTTTTCGATACATAATTCATGATTGTGTGTTCCTTTGTAACATAGATCAGCATTCCAGGCTTATCTTTTATTGTGAACAAGCAGCTTTTTTCCCCTCTGTACATGTGATCAGGTACTATCAAGTAACAAAAGATAGCTTATTGTGGTCCTTGAAGTTGGAAAACGATCTCTTGCTTCCAGGGGGATCAAAACTATGAGCCAAAATGAAAACGTTAACTTGGAACTGTTTTACTAACTTGGTTGGTTTGGTAGCAGTAAAGCAGGACCTCAGATACCTGCATGAAGAGAGAAACAAAGCAAGAACAAACAAGCTGTATACGTCAAGCATGTTGCCTTTTTACAGTTAGCCAAAATAAACCTGGAACCCTATGTGGAAACATTTATTTATTTATTATAATAACGTATATGTGGTCTACTCATCAAACACTGGCAGCTCATGATATTAAAACCCTAAGGCATGGAGGTTAAAAAAGTATACAAGCAATCACTAGTAAAGGACAAAAGCTTTGAGAGGAAATTGGCTGAAAAATAACAGAGGACACTATACCAGAAAAAAAAATAGTTTGTCCATGGTTTCCAACTTCACAGTTAGGACCTTTCTTCCAGCCACATGGGGAACAGTACGCCTGTTCACCACGAGGTACTTGTGGAATGTTAACACTACCTCCTCTACCCTGCCTTGGAATCAAAGCAAGTAAGCTAGTTGTGGATTTTCAGTAGACACATGCCTCAGTTCTTGCCCAGCCAAATCTCAGTGATATGATGCTGATTGCCACCAACAGGTCATGGAGGAGCACATAGTTCAGGGGTGTCAAACTGCCGGCCTGCGGGCCGGATGCGTCACACCAAAACCGCACCCACCCCATTGCCAGCAATGGGAAAAAAAGTCACGATACGTGAGTTTGACACCCGTGACATAGACCATTGAATAATGTGACCCGATTAAAACATTTTCTACTCCACACTCACAAACTTACTCTTTCCCAGGCACAAACAGATAGGACTTTGTGTATTTCTTATTTTATTTCTACTTTCTTATTCAACATTATGACAGCAGTGTATGACAAATACAGTTCCATCTCTGTTAGAGTTCTAAGAAATTAATGGTACAGTTAATAGATTTTTTATTTGTCAATTATCATACAGCTTTAGCTTTTAAATGATTAGTTCATTAATGGGTGAAGTAATTAATGGGATAGATTTATGAAAGTGCATTAAACAACAGTTTATACACTTTCCAGGCCATATTTCTTATTCTTTATGAAAGGCTTCATACCACGGTATATAATTGCTTTCAGGCAGGAACACGAATGCACACTAGGAGTAGTCGTCATTATTTCAAAACAAGTGCTGCCTGAAAGATTATTTCTCTTTTCCAGGGTTCTGACCTTTTAAAATGCCATTCTTTTAATTTTTAATATTTATGTATTTGCCATCATTATAGCCTATTGAACAAATCCTGAGTGGATTCATGCCTTGAGGAGTTTGCAGTCTAAAATTTTTGACAGTGGGCAGGAGAAATATAGAAAGGAATAGGAGAGCCAGAAAACCCAAATGGGAATAAAAGTTGTTAAAAAAAACCTTTATATATGTGCTTATATGGATTAGTAATTTTTATGGGAAAATTCAACATGTATTTTTAAAATGTTGACTCCCTGAACCTGGGTTTTTTTACTATCTTTCTTAGAAAGAGAACATCTAAGGGTAGACTCAATTATGGCTGAGATAGAGAAGAAGGAGAATTTAAAACAGTCATAATAACACTATGGACCAAAGAGGAATATAAAATAAGTTGAATACGAATAGTATGTTCGTTTTGACATTTTGCATGATTAAATATCCTTTATTTTTTCCTTTGTCATCGATTATTATGACGAATCTGCATAAAAATTATATAAATGTGTTATTTCTTTAGGTTTGTATTGCTCATTCCCTATTAGAATCATTTACTTTTATATTTGTTTTTAATTGGTTTTTATTGGGGATAGTGTTTGTATCGTTTTAATATGCTGTAAGCCGCCCTGAGTCCTGTTGGGAGAAGGGCGGCATATAAGTTTAATAAAATAAATAAAATAAATAAATAATACTTATCCCTCTAAAATAGAGTTGACCTTTCTTTCCTGATATTTTCTCTCTCCTCCTTCCCTCTCTCCCCCTTAAGTGGAATCTAAGTCAATCTGATAGTATTATAACCCTGTTTTCCCAAATAAGTTTTTCTGGCTTGTGATAAATAGAACAAGGTTCTCAGGAGGGTCAGAACATCTCAGATGTTCTTGGGCAAGTTCAGCATGTTCACAGTTTATACGTAACAAATCAGATTGGCAGTTGTCCGGGATATTTACTAATGTCAGTAATGACCAAAACTGTAAATGTATTGTCTGAGCGTTGTATCCTCGTTAAACTTGTGTTCACCTTCTCTGAAACTCTCCATGCTGCATGCTAGCACGGAGCAGCCGTATCCCCCGACCCAGCGTGAGTCAGGGGTGCAGCCGCGATACCAGCCGTGAGAGCAGCCGAGATACAAGCCCTGCTCGGGGCTTTCCTCCACTTGGTGAGTACCAGTAGGCACTAGAGCTTCTAAGGGCCACCCCTCCTCTTTCTTGCTGGTTCGTCGATATACCTCTGAGTGGAATGGGCTTGTTATTCTCTTCTTTTTTAAAACTCTTTTAACATTCCTCTTTTCTGACCTTATTTATTCTGTTCATTTCTGCATGCTTAAATCCTGCTTTCCTTTACTAGGAAAACTCATAGTTTGAAATGCTTTTGACAATCTCTAAAATTTTTGGACATGCACTTAGGCGCCATTGGTCTTGACAAAAGCAGCTATTGTGAAGGCTACATCATTGCAGGGAAAGTTGATGCTACTAGAAAGCATGACCTGCCTTTTTTGATCCAATGCAAAATGGGGGTCCTTTGGAGAAAATTTAGTAAATGTCTTGATGATATACTTTTTATTATTTTGCATTGTATTCTTGGGCCTGAGTGCATGCCATATCAAGGATAACGTTTTCCAAGCCCCAGGTACACTGAAAATTCCTTTTCTGTATAAAAAGCT